CTTGGCTTTTCATGGCAAACTCCTTTAATGGCCCCCCAAGGGACTTCTTGTGACTCTCTCTTCCCCCAGAAAAGCATCACAGTTGCAGACTTTTCCCGTTTACCAGGAGATCAAGCAGTCAGGCTCAGGGTGAGCAGTGGGAAAGCCTGGATCAGGCAGCTCCCCTGGTAGCAGAGAGCTTCCCACACCCAGGGTGCTCCCCAGCCCTCAGCCAGTGGGTTTTGTTGTGGTTACTGCTGAGCCGCCTCCTCTGGCGGAGCTGTCCTGTGTCCCAGCCCAAGCCCCGCAGCCACGCTCGGCATCTTTCTTTTGGTCACAGCCTGATGTGCTGACATGTGAACAACTCCTTTTAAAGAACAGATACCCTTTCAAAGAGCAAAGTCCCCCCAGGCAGCTGGGGAAAACTGGCAAAGGACACACACTGGATTAGTTTTTGCTCTGTGCTCCCTGTGGCTCTTCACACGAAGGAGCCGGTGGCATGAGATGGGGCTTGGGGACCAAAGTTGGTGCCTTTGCATGTTAGAAACCATTTCCGTTTGCAAGCCTGACAAGCACTGTCTGTTTCAGTATTTGTGATCCCCACAGAGCTATTTTTCTGCATTTCCCAATACTTTCTCTTCTTCCCTATTCAGTCTGCAGATGGGCCTGGCCCCTTAGCTGGCTCCCTTCAAAGGAGGGCATTATATTATGCCATCATTTATCACACTGTTCTTTTCTCCAGCAAATTTCCATTATGATTGGAAAAAAAGTCTGGCAGCCATCACCTCTGCTCTTAGATGAACTTTGGTTGGTTATTGAGCTATTACTCATAATTTAATTGTCTTCACTTGCTCTAGCTATGTAAAAAGATAGATAAATAGAGATAGATAGATAGATAGATAGATAGATAGATAGATAGATAGATAGATAGATAGATAGATAGATAGATAGATAGATAAATAGAGGTATGAAGGAGGAGGGGAGCAATTTGGGGTGATTACTGGCACAAGTCAAGCTGGAAGGGGAGGGAAATTGCATTGAGCTGCACCAATTTACACCTTCCAAGATACTGCCTTTCTGTGACAGTGAAACATTTCTCACTACCAGAACTCAATCTAGTGTCTGCTTGGGTTTAGCATGCAGTTAAATTCACAAGATGCAGTTCAAGAAAAAGCTACAGATTGATGTTTCAGCTTCTGAGAGTCAGAAAAAGTGAACTCAAGCATATGTAACTTCACAGACTAACCTAATCTTCCCCTCTTGCTGAGAAGATTCACATAGCAACAGTGAAAGGGGCTTTCTTCAATTTGCCTTATCCTGTGTGTATTTAAGATAACTCTTTTTTTTCCAGAATTTCATTTAGCTACTCATACTACAAACACAAGGACAGATGGTCACCAGATCAAACTTAATCAGCATTCTGTATGCTGGATTTTGGGCTTAGAAATTCATCTGGTTCTAGTAAAGCATAGTCTGAAACCTGCCTGATGTTAACTCAACCACAGAATTGTATTAAATTTCTAAGCCTCCCCATCCTCATAGGAGATTGAGATGGGAACCATCGGGCAATTTCTAAAAAGGGTTGATTAGTAGTTTAATTATCAGAGATCAAAATCTGCTCTGTTAGTAGTGTCTCACTGGAGAAATGCATTTTTAATGGGAGAGTGCAGCCCAATCTTACCCATTTGTGTCTTCTTCAAATTCATTACAGGGCTAAATCCAGTCCTGGAGTTAAAGGATGTAGTTTTGTTTACATCCTCTTACTCCATATTGAATTCAAGGTCTAGACCTTGGCAGTGCACCCTCAGTCAAGGCAATTTGGACTATTTTCCCATGGCTTCTTCTCATTCCTCTTTTCATCGGGCTCTTCCCTTCCCTGCCTCTCACTGTTGTCAGTTGTTGGGCTGAACTCCATGTGAGTGTCCCCACCCCAAGGAGCTGTGGTTACATACACAGGACAAGAAATGAGCTTCCCACAGGGAAGGCCTGTCAGGCTTCTACCTGCCCATAGGCACACAGTATCCAGGGGCATCAAGAGCCATACCAGAACGTCCTTTGCCTCAAGTGAAGTCAGGGTTTGACTGTATCCTTAAATCCTGTGTCCTTCAGGTTGGTGTGGTGATCTTTTCGCCCTCTCCAAAACCATTCAGCTATTTTATCCCTCATGCCACAGTCTGTTAGAGATGTGTGTGTACCCCTGCCTCCAACTCTGCTGCCTGTATTTGCATAACTGTGGCATGGGGCTGCCTGGCTGGAAACCAAACCCCCCTCCAAATGGCACAGAGGCGACAGCCATCTGTGTCTTTTTTCACATTTGGTTTCATTGTTTTAGGATCAAATCCAACCACTGCAACCTACAGTAACTCTAGACTTTTCAAGGCTCGGAGCTTTCCATATAGCACGATCTGTGGTTTCACTGTGGAGAAGCAAACCTGGAAAAAAAAACTTGTTGGACTGGATCACAAGTATTTTAGTTAGTGCAGAAGGCTGCCAGTGGTGAAACTAGCACTCCCAGAGCATGAATGAACGGAGGGTGTTTCATTCTGTGCATGCTGGACAATTCAGTCCTAACTGGGCATTATGGCTGCACTGGGCAGATCACTCTGGAGATGTATTTCCATTGCCACGTAATAAATATAAGTGCTCTTTATGAGACACTCATGGATGGAAGGCATCTAGTGGTTGCTAAAGGTTATTCTGATGATGTATATTCAAAGCCCTCCTGTTTGGCATTAATTAGCACAATGTTCTATTTTGCAATTTCCCAGCACAGACACATCCAGATTCCTGCTAGGAATTGGAAGTGGCATCCACCCACTCCTCCACCCAAACCAGACAGCACTGATACAATCCCTCCCTCCATGAACCCCCCACAACCCCATGGCAGGGACATGCAGGGGCTTGCAGGATGCAGGATTTTCTTGCATTACACAATCAAGGCATTTATTTCTAACAGGCCTCAGGCTGGGATCTTCATGAAGGTCTCTCCCATGGGTCCCAAAAGCCCAGTGCCATTAGCTGGGAGCTCCTGATTAGTCAGAAGCTCCTGATTTGGCCTGTGGGCTGGAGTATTTCTGACATCCAGGTTGAAGATTGCTGATTGCAGGAAGCTGATGCCCTCAGGAGCTCACAGCCCTAAGGAACTGATGGAAGTTTGTGACCCACACGCTGATTTGAACTCTTCATGTCACAGCACTGGGACAAACTATTGTAAACTTATATGTTCCCTGTTTCTCTGGGCTTGGTTGCTCCAAGCCTACTACAGCTGCTTACTGATGCAATACTAAGGAAAATGTGTAAGAAGTACTCTGGGGGTTGGATTCTGCCCTTGCCAAAGTCCAAGAGAGAAGGAAACACTTGCGCTTTTTCTACCTATTTTATCCCTGTTGGGTGTCTGAAAAGCATTTGCTACCAGCCCCAAGCTACAGAGATAATTAGATGCTGTACCAACCAAACTGCCAAAAGATGATAACTTGTGTGTTTCAATATTGCATGGAACATAACCTAAAATAGCTAAACAGATCCTGTAATTAGGAAAGTACCAACTTACACTCATATCCTCCTCTGCCTAGGCATCCCACCTTTGGGATGTTCACGGCTTCTGAGCTCCTGGCACTGGGCTGAGTGCTTTTTCCACTGGCTTTGGTGCATCCTCAATGCAAAGGGACTTTTTTGGTTCTTTCTTGTGAGTGGTTCTATCTTGCCTCATGTAAGGACCCTCGGCCTCTGAGCTCTAGTGCTGGAGCTGATTCTTTTGCATTGATCTCTTACACCACAGCCATCCTCTCAACAGGCTACATGATGAGATGAATCATTTTCCATGACTAATGGGACAGTGTGAAGCTCTGATGGGGCACAGTTACAGTCCTGCAGCTGTGATCCACTGCACCCACCATGGGTGACAGCCACTGCTGGAATCTGCCTCCAGCATCACCCCTCCCCGTGGCACCACTGCAACTCCACCATTCCCAGAACCATGGTCCCTGCACGCTCTCCCAGTGCTGGAACAACCAGGCCTACATGCACCACTTCATTTTGGTTTTTACGCCTCCAGCTTCCCTCCAGATAAACGTATTTTTTTTAACTCAGAAATACATTTGTTCCAAGTCAGATGCCAACTGCTCCCAGTGCCAAGAAGATGCAGCGCTCCTTCTGCTCACTCTGTTTTCCCGTGAACTTTATCAGTTTTTGCTTGTTTCTCTGTGACCTTTGGAGCCCATTCAAAGTCATCTGCCTTTTGCTTTGATTTCCTTTCAGTCCAGTGCAGGTTGCCAGCTGATTTGTTGCCTGTTTTTACACATCGCCAGCAAATCACCACCTCCTCATATTGTTCAGTCAGTCATCAACTCCAGGCTTGCCAGCTCTTTTTGCTAATGGGCTAGGAGGGATTGTTACATCTAAGCTGATGGGACCAGAAAGCTGCTTAATTACAGCTAACAAATCTTTAAAGACTAATGTCAGACTTTTATGGCCAGTGAGGGTCTGGCCAGTGTTATGGACCCAAGGTCCACCTGTACGTTGGCTGTACCTCATCCTTCCACTGGTTAGCCAGGCACTCCCACTGCCACAACCACTGGTTCCACTGCACTGGAAATGTATCCCTCAAGTTGTTGTGCCAGAGATTTGGCTTGTGCTGGTTCTGGGATGGGGACAGTTTTAATGTAGAGCTGGATGGGACCTCCTGGGTGCTCTCCAGCAGCTGGTCCCAGTTACAGGCAGCCAGGGATCAGTGGGAGGTGAAGGAGCCCAGTGGCTTTTAGCTGTGGTTATTCCTACAATGTTGGCAAGAGCTGGGGTGGACATGGGAGCCCCAGGTGAGGTGCAGAGTCCATAGGCCATGTCCAGGCTCAGCTCCAGCACCACACAGCTCACAAAGCGCTGCTTCCTTGCCTGCAAAGTTCCATGTTTTTCATGATTCCTCAGGAGAGCTGTATTGAGGCCCATTTGTGGTGAAAGGCAGGAGTACTTTCTCCAAGAGTTATGTGTGTTTCTCATCATGCTCCTCTGCGTTGCCTTTTCAGCTCCAGGTGTGGTGCTCGATGGATTGTTGAAGACCAAGATTTCCTTTGTCGACCAGGAATAAAATCCATGTTTCCCTCCAATACAGAGAACAGTCAGAAGGAAAGGTGTAGCACAGCTGACCAAAACCCAGAATCATCTGCACTATGGGCATCTCCCACTGCATCATTCAGGACCCCAGGTATGGATTTATTTGATTTATTTCTTGTGCACAGACATGGTGTACATAGCTTTAAAACATTCTTACTCTATTTTCTCTGTATGGTCCCAGGTCCCTAAAGAAGGTGATTTAGAGAGATAAGTGCTCACTAATTAGATGGAAATGTGATGATTTTACACAGTGCAGTGGGTGTAGTGTTTTCAGAGGTCACTGCACACTGCTTGGGCTCTCCACAGACGTTTAACTTTTCCTCCCTTTGTTGGTTCTCTTCCCATAAATCACCAGAATGAAAACATGGATCAGGTGGGGAAAGCCAGTAGCAGGATGAGGGCTTTATTTTGCTATTCTGCTTCCAAGCCTTGCAGTATAAAGACTGTCACAGGGCTGTGAGCCACATGTGGCCCCCTTGAACAGAGCTAAGCTCTACTGGGACCCACAGGCTGATCCACTGCCACAAATTGCTCACAACATGTGTATAAGGACCACTGGGGCTGTGGTCTCCGAGGCTCAGCCCGCAAGGCTCAGCCCCCCAGGGCTGCACAGCCAAATATTGGGGGAGCTTTACTGTTCCCCCAGGCCATCAGAGCAGCCAAACAGGCTGCCAAGGTCAGGGATTAGTCCTATCTTGGCTTCCACAGGCTCTCTTGGGCACAATCTGAATCTCAAACATGCCATCTCTGCAGTTATGTCTCTGATCCAGATCGAAGCTTGTTTGCTTGCACAGCCTCACAACAGAGAGCTCAGTTTGAGCTCCTTGATTTCAGTGTTGGCCAAGGTTTTGCGTTTTGTACCGAGATCTGTGCTGCTGCCATCACCCACGATGCCAATTCAGCCCACAGCCCTCCTGCCACCCACGGAGTCATGGGATCCAGAGCCAAGCCTGGCAACACCCCATCCGAGGGGTCACAGGCTCCGGAGGGGACAAGGGACATGTCCCGGGGACCCACGCATCTCAAAGTTATCATGAAAGGCTGAGAATAAAAGGCACCACATAGCCCTGGGGCTAGAGAACCGCTCGGGCCGGGCCCATCCCTCGCTGTCCCGGTGCCCGCGCGCGGCCGATCCCGAATCCTTCGCTCCTTTCCCGCATCTTTGCGCGGGGAGCGCGTGCCCTCTGCTGTCCGCGGGCGGAACTGCAGGTGGGACCGGCCCGGGAGCCGGGATGGGCTCTGTGCTGTCCCTGACCTGAGCCGGGTTTAAAGAGGCACCATAAACCGACCGTGAAATGGAGCTACGAGCTGGGAACCTCCAGCATGGACGAAGGAAGGCGTCACGGTCTCTGCCTGCGGGTGCAGGGTAAAGGTGCAGCCCTTCTCTAAAGGAGAGGAGAACCCGAGTGGATCCCTGGTAAAGCCTGAGATGGAGGCTGGAACAGGGCAGCAGCACAAGAGGGGCAGACTGGAGGTGCCCAAGGCACAGAGGCAGAGGAACTCTTCACCAGCACGAAGCACATTTGGAGCAGTGCCTGCAGAAAGGACGTAAGAGCAGGGGCCAGAATCCAGCGTGCATTTGTTCCCTGTGTTTCTGAAATAATCCCTGAGAGATCAACGGGGTTTCACATCTTTCCCCATCTGTTCTTAATCTGTTTGCCTGACAGATGCCAAACCACCATACCCTGCATGGAAAAACACAAAACAAAATAGAAGGCTTTATATCTCCTCTGGTTTTATTCAGAAACGTTCCCCGGAGCCTGGCACTGTTCGTGCCCCAGGCGTGTGCCGAGGCCCAGGGCAGAACCTGCCCCAGGGACAGATCTGCTGTCAGCAGGGGCTGGCAGCGAGTCTGTTCAGGGCACAGACTGTCTCTGATGGAGCAGCTTTGTGTTTATGCAAACCCGATGACTCCAGTTGATTATCTGCTGCTGGCATCCCTCTGCTGCCAAGAAGCCTCCACCAACATCCCGATCCGATGATCCCGCTGTTCCAGGCGCTGCAGACTTGTACAGCCTGAGGCAGTCCCAGCCAGGCAGGAGGGGGGCAGAGACAAGGGAACTGCCTTGCTAAAGGTCACAGAACAGAAGGAAACCAGCACCCTGAACCCCCCAAAGGCTCCAGACAATTTGTCAAGCAGCCTCTCATCCCAGTATTATCTCAGAGTTTGTCCCTGCAAAATCTGTGGAGGATGTGAGCAACAGCATTTTAATGGTACCCATGAATACTTTATTTAAGGCTGAGACTTGGTGACTACAGTACTATCATTATCAGTGCCTAGAATGTGCCATCTCTGATAATAAATAATAAAGGATAACTCCCAACATCAAAAATTATTCTGTCCTAAGCTGTTCCCATCCTCATCCTATCGATCAGAAGGTCTGAGTGTTTGTAACAGCTCGTACAGTAAATGGACTTTAACATTCTTCTTTCCAAATACTGAAACTGGCTCTTTCCAGGGCAATGCCATGTAATTTATAGCTCTATCACCACCTCCTTAATAGCTGCCAAGTTCTTTGGGGTCCTTTGAAAGTGAACATATTAAAAAGATATGAGCTGAGACTGACCAGAACTTTCATGTCTGTAGGTTCCTATGTGCCTTTTTTGGTCTTTTCAACAAGCTGCTGAAAACCAGTTCTGTATCTTTAAGGCAAGATGATGAGACTTTAGAGTTCTCCTGACTAGTGAGAACAGAGCATTGATACAGCTCTACAGCAGCCAAATGCCAGCACATCTCTACATCTCAACTTCACCATTAGCCTCGGCTAAGAGAGGGAAAGGGAGAGATTTCCTCTTTGCGTATCATTTGCTTAATCAATGTGAAACACAATCCCTGCCAGTCTGAAAATAGGTCTCAAACAGTGACAGTTAAACAGCTGTGCAATTTGTCTATTGCCCCAAGAACAGAGTATTTATATAAGGTTTGGCTGAGCAGAAAAGAAGGCTGGGAAAAGATTCAGCAGCTCTGATAGGAGAGGGGAGATGACACTGTCTTGAGCTGTTAACATCACAGCATGCCCTGCTCTGTTCAGGCACTGCTTCCCACCAGCCCAAGCCTAGGTTAATTTAATCAATGAAAACATCCTGTGCCTCCCCAGTTTGGCAAAGGTAGGATTTGGGGTGAAGGAGATCTCCTTTGCTTACTCTGCATATTTTGCCAGAATCCCCCAACTCCGTGAAATGTCAAGAGAAAGATCAACAGAGTGAAATGTAATCTCAAAGAGAAACACAATATTTTTTAAAATGTCCTCACAGCAGCAATCATAATAAAAATACAAACCTGAGGTTTGTAAAAATGTAGCAATAAAACCACAGACATCTTTACAACTCCCAGATACCCAGAGCTCCTCGGCAGCAAGCACAAAAAGCCTCCCAGACACAAGGAGCAAAAGTCTAACTGGGGACCAGACCTAATTGTTTTACAGCCTGCAAAAAAAAAGCCACACATGACACTAATTCACAGGTGATTACCAGCCACCATCAGAGAAGATAAAATAAATTCCCTTCATTTTCCCTCACCTAGAGACCATGGAGCAGCTGAGTTGTAGGGAGGTGGAATGTTGTGCTTACAGGCAGTATGTGGTTTAGGTTTATAAGGCAAGTTCAGATGTTTGTGCTGTTTCCTGGTCATTAAAAGCCCTTTTTAAAAGCCAGATTACAGGCATCTGTACTTCCCGAGCTAGCAGTGAGTATGTTCTGTTCCACAGGAATAGAGATCATCTCTTTTAGAATGTGAGGCAGGCCCTCGGGCAATGTAGCTCAGCCTCCCAGTGTGCTCTGGCAGGTTATTTAATATTTCCATGCCTTGAATCTCCCATCAGCAAAAGGAATCCTGTATTTAGATCTTTTCCAACCTTAATGATTCTATGATTTCTCCCACTCTTTGTCCAACCAGGTTTAAAGCTCTTCCCATGGGGACCACATATCATGAGGAGGCAATGGAGGACTGTGGCAGCACAGGGCTGTGCAAGGTGAACACTCACCTGAGCATGGAGCAAGATTATAAAGGACAGAGTGCAGCTGGTGCAGGATTTTCTGGGCTCCCTGACTTTCTTACGTGTTTGACTTGGGTACAGCAGGATTTTGAGTGCCCACCTGTTTTGCAGGGGGAGGTGGGCACCAGCTGGCTGAGATGATGGTACTGATTCAGCTATGGACAACTGTGGTGACTTTTCCTCTGTCTGCCACGGAAATGAACCATGTGGTGGCAATGATGGGACATTTTTCACAGGGGAAAAAAGAATTCAGTGTAGGCCAGGTTTGAAAAATCCAGAGTAAAACACAGCCTCAGCCTAGTACTGTACAACTGTACTGTACAACTGTACTGTACAACTGTCAAGTCGCATTGCAGTAGGTTTCTTGATGCAGATAATTTAATGATTCTTTGGCCCACGGGCACATCTCCCACTGCGAATCTGCTTCTCCAGAGCTGCTCTATCACTGACCTGAAAGGCAGCAATCAGGGCTCGTGTGTAAATGTATGTGACGAGCGCTAATGCACGATAATGGCCACAGCGCATCCAGCGGGGCTGACAACACCCACAAGGTTCTGGATGTGTATTTTGCTCCCTGAACATAGAGGTCACTGGCTTTTTCCTGATGATTTTTGACAGAATACAGTAGGCAGAGCCCAAGCATGCATATATGCATCTGTCAGTGATTACTTAATAGTTAAGAGTAGTTTTAGGGGTATTTTCGTAAAAGCCATAAAAAAACCCCAAATTGCAGATGTCATGGGTCATCTTTTGCCCTAGAAAAAAACGTTTGTTCTTCTCCTCTTATTTCTAGGCTATTCACAACTTGTCCTTTTTCCTTTGTGGGCTAATTGTGCAAGTTTAGCTGCCAAGTTCAAGAGCTTTTTGAAAACTGTTCTGGGCCTTAATCACACTCTTTTTTGATTGGAATGAGAACCCTTACTCCCCAGGTTTCTGGGAAAGGCCCATGATATAATTGAAAGGTGGGAACTACTTTTGTCCTTGTTTGTACAGTCACAGAATTCTGGCTAATGGCCATCTCATGAATTAATGCTGAAAAATAATGGATTTACTAAGAGTCTGGTTGGTAAAGTGGAGATAAGGGAGCTGAGTAAGGGGCTGACGCCTTCTCCCAGCCAGCAATTGTAGCAATGTTTTATGATCGGGGAGTAGGTCAATTCACTTGCACATTTAATGGATGAGATAAGGGCAGCTTGCACTAAATTAGCTTTCTGGGCAATATATGATCTCAGGGATGCAAAACCCTTCTGGCTGCTGAGGGAGCTGCCTGCACGTCCTTCAGAGCAAGGCCTGGCAGAGCTATTTGCAGATGATGCTCTCTTGTACTAAACACAACTGCTGATGCTCCTGAGCATCCTGCTATAAAATCATGACCCTATGGCAGTGCAGGCCAGTGTGCCACATCTGGGACACAGCTGGCCCCACTCTATTCAGCACCACTTCGTTAGTGGGAGGTGAGGCTGCAGCAGTTTCCAGAAGGATCTGTGTGTTGTGCCCCTCCAGTCCATGCACAGAGATGTGAGTGCAGCTCATGGCAGCCTGTTCCTGCCTTCTGCTCCTCCAGCCCCAGACATCAGGCTGGATTAGGCACCTCCTGGATCCTGACCTGCTTCTTCCTCCTCAATAGACATCTGAGCCTCAGTTTCAGCACTTGTCATCAGATGTTACTTGTTCTGCAGCAGGAGGTTTCCTCTGCTACCACGAACCCCCCCAGCCAAAGTGTTGTGCAAACAACGGAAGAACAATAACTAAAAACCAGTCTCTGCCTTAAGGAGCTGACAGCATCTGCCTTATTCCTCCCAGCTTCTGTAAATAAATCCTTGGTAATGTTGCTGGTTTTCGGAGGACGATAAAAGGACCTGTCGACACTCCCTGCCCAGACTTTTCCTGCCATTCACTGAGCTTTCCACTCCCTCTCCCATGCAGGGAGAAGTTTGTTAAAAATTAATTCTCATCTGATGACTGCTAATTATCTTAGAGGCTGTGGGTAAAGTGCAGCAAAGGGACCAAAGGCAGCGCTCAAGAACAGCCCTGCAGGAGGAATGCTGGCTTGGATCAGCTTGTGAGGGTTTTAACTGATGCTTCTCCAGTGGGATGTCTGATAGCAGAGCAGTGAAAAAAGGATCAGTAGAGAGGTCTCTCTCTGTACTCACATACATCTGGTTCTGATTTTTAAAATCTTCCCTTTTGAACTGGGGAGAGCTCACATCACTCTTCGGATTTTAATATTTTGGTTGAGTTTCATCCTGGCTGTTGTTCCCCACCAAGCTCTGGGACAGACTCTGCACAGTAACTTTCCCTGCCCTCCCTTGCACACTGTGAGCAGGGAACTTGTCTGACAACCTGTGTGCTGCCTGCTTGCAAGGAGGCACAGCCTCTCCAGTGTGCTCTCCTTCCCGGCGGGGTGAATGGGAAGCTAATCCTGGATTCCTATCTCAGCCCCGCTGATCTAATTAATAGTAACTCCTTTGGCTTTATAGGGTGGAGGATGCCTGGATTTAGATCTGCATTACCGGAATCAAAACCAGGCCAGCTGTGCTTGTTGATATTAGAGATGCACAGCAAAGAGAAACAACCTCCATGTGCAGTGACATGGGAGAGGTGATTAAACCTTCCTGCTTCCAGCTCTGCAGCCGTGTGTGAGGAATCTGTGCTCTTTAAAAAACAAGGCAAGCAAAAGAAAAATAAGGAGAGAGGCACCTGGAAATCCAAGAGCCAGCAAGAGTGGGAAGATGCACTGCCTCCTGGAAAATCTCTGTCTCTGCTCCCAGTAGACCCTGGAGAGTAAACCCAAGATCACAGAAAGCACAGGGTAGGGAGGCAGATCATCTGAGGACAGGACAGGACAGGACCAGCCTTGCCCTAAACTCTGCCTAATATTGTCCTGCACTCATCTCCCCTTAACTAATTAGCATGGGCCTTCTAAAGTACACATGGCCCCTCCACCAAGCACACACCAGACTCCACGCGCCCTCTTACCTGGTCCCTCTCTCTGTCCCTGACAGCATGGAAAGAAGAGCCCAGAGCTGGCAGTGGCAGGCAGGTCCTGCTGCTGTCAGTGGTGCTGCTGGGAGCCCTCCTTCCCCTGTGGGCGTTTCACTGTCCAGGCTTTGCAGCCACTTGGGAGATCCTGCGTGCAAACAATGTGGGACATCTCCGGTGCAGCCAGGCCAGCCCACGAAGGGCACACGGGGTGATGTGGTGTGGGATCAGGGCAGTTCCTCAGCTGGTCCTGAGACAGACTGGCCAACCTGCTGCCCTGCACTTAGCAACAGGGTCCTGGCAATCCCCACAGATGATTGCATCCCATCAAATCCACCCGTGCAGAGTTCCCTGCTCTGCAAAGCTTGACCTTATGGCTAAGGAATAAGCCACAAAGGGACAGAGGTCTTTGAACAGAAGTGCAGGACTCGGAGGTCCTCAGATCTGGAGTCTGCTTGCTGGATTTTCCACCCAATCCTGTCAAATCATGGGAGTCAAGAAATCTGGGTTTTATCCAGTTTCCCCATGGATGTTTTATCCGACCCTGTGGTGGTTGCTTAGAGCCAGTCCTTGAAAAGATGCCACAGTTCCCACAGAAAGTTGTAACTGCATGAAGCACATAATTACATTAGAGGCACAAGCCATGGACAAAACAGGGCCTTATGGACCACTGCATGTTATATCAGGGCTATTGGGGATCTCTGATTTTGGGGATGGATGCATAAATATTTTACTGTAAAATGCTCGTATCTGAGAGCCCTGTGTTTGCACTTTGATGGACTGGGAATTTGAATTTCTGGCCATCTCCAAAGTTCAGGAGTTGTGATCAGGGCCAGAGCTTCCTCCAGCCCAACTCTGCAAAGAGGATTTGCTGAGCTATGATTAACTCGATTACATTGCATCCTTCTCTTCAGGATTTTTTAAAGAACTTTGCAGATATTAATGACACGTAATTACCATGCTCACATTCCCATTTTGAACATGGAGAAACTGGGGCAGCTCAGTGGTGCTCACCTGGCGAGGGGCAGAGCAGCCTTTCAAAGGATGACAAATCAGGGTGACATTTGCAGGCTGAAACGTCTCAGAAAGGAAAACATCAGAGAAACCGAGAGGACATGGAATAAATGCTCAGGGACTATTTCAGTTTTGTTTCTGAATGAATGTATTTTTATCCCGTGGCTTCCGACAGGTTTTCCTTACACGGAATACAGGTATGTATTTCTGTTCTATGGATGTCACGTCTTAAGGCCTGTAAAAGCACTTCCTTTGCAACAACACAGCTGGGGGTTTTCCTTCATCTGTGTTCAGTTATTAGGGATCCATATTGAATTAACATCCGTCTTTCCTGCCAAGATGATTCAGATGGCAAATGCATTTCTCTTTTGGCACAGGTTCTAACTGAATCATCTTCTCAGACTAGTTCGTCACCTAACGGGATCCTAAATTAAGAGTGCGCATTTTATATAAAAAGATGGATGCATATGAGATAAAATGAAAGGAAAGCCATGAACAGGAGAGGGCTTGTTCTCTGGGTCTATGTCTGCCAGACATTGCATTTGAGCTCAGCCTGGCTTTGTGCAGCTGCTTGGGGGCATTGCTTACACCCACCCCACGCTGGTGGGACGCAGCAGCCTCCTCCTCCCCACTGCAGGGCCTTCCTCCATCACTGCTGGTAGAGCTAAATCTCCCTCTGCACCAGGCTTTCCACTTCTAAATGCCCATTTAAAACTGGTTGTCTTTGGGTTTAGCTTTGAGTAAAAGAACTAATGAGCTCTCCTAAAAATATTTGCCTCCAAGCTATGTTGTACTTCCTTATCCCGGGCTTTAGGAGTAGCTACGTGGATGTAGATCCATCTTCCCTGTCCTCAGACATCACAGAATCATCTTGAGGGTACATAGAGCCACCAGCTTGCAGCTTGACACTGAATTTGGTTTTGGTGAAGGTGTGAAATAGCTCTCTGTGCTGTGTATAGTACTTCTGTTGACTGAGCAAATTATTATCTCTAACTTGTGGAAACTTTAATTGCCCTTCTCTGTTGGCTGCTTCAAAAAATTC